AGAGAATGCAACGAGCTTTATTCACAACTATCTGCCATCCTTACCCAACTCTCCCTGTGAGGTGACTGTAATGTCTTCCCAACACAGTCCTCCACAGAACAAGGAGGAGGCTGATTCTAAAAGACAAGAAAGTATCTAGAATGTTTAGAAACACTTTCAGAGGGAAGGGCTCCTACACAGTAATGCAGTGTTATTATAGGCCATACACAAATTGCTGTCCAGTTCTACAACAAATACTTGCAATGACCTTTTCTACTCTGCAACAGCCAAGAAATACAAGTGCATGGAATGACACCTAGGTATCACTGGTGATTTATCAAGTCATTGCTGAGTTGTTAACTACAAGAATTCGCTTAATTATTTAATTATGATCAAATGATAAGTAATGGATGATCGACTAGAAATTAAATGGTAATCAAATGGTGATTAAGTGATCATTGAAGGGTAATTAATGAGTGATTTGACAGACCTAAATGATGACTCAGTAATTCAGACAGGTGTAAAACACTGCACTATTTATCACACTTGTAATAAATAAGAGAATATTGTAATAAACAAATAGACGGATATATATGAACGTCACTAGCACACCTTTAGGCTGTAAGTAAAACACTCCTTACCTCACTGTAGAGATCAGACACTGGTAAAACGTCTCTCCGCCCTGAGGGGTGACCTGGAGAGCCGTCCCTGCTGCCAGGGAGGGCAGGCCCGGCAGCACAAGAGCAGCAGAGCTCAGCGGCTCGAGGCGGCCACAGGTGCTCAGAGGGCAAAGGGACAGACCTGCAGCCAAACGCCGCCCTGGCACCTTTGCACTTTGCAGCTTTAGCTTTGTCTGGTGCCAACTCGGGCTGTTGCTGTTATGTCCCGACAAGACATTGCCCAGGAGCCTCGGTCCCTGAGGAGATGCGGCCTGGCATGGCTCTCAGTGGGATCAGCCCGGCCGGCTGGTGGGCGATGCCTGAGCCAAGGCACCGCTCAGGCCCATCGCCAACCACTACATTAACTTACTACTCCAGTATTGCTGCCCCCACAAAACTTGCATTTAGTAGCCCCGTATACAGATGTTTGTCTGAGTATTTGTTAGAGAATATATAAGTTATTCAAAAGTAATTAAGGTTTATCCAGGAAAACGAAACAAATCTCACTTCTCTGAACTATTACATGCGCTGCTGAAGATTTGCCAACAGGTTGTCATGCTCTTTTATGGGAAGATTTTCAATTAAAATCTTGCATACACTGAAGTGAAAAACAGTGATATGAGTTATTTCATTCCACTTCTCTATGCTTTCCGTACATCCTGCATTCAAAAGACCCATAGTGAAAAAAAGAGATCTGTTTGGAAACAGAAAAGTACTCCCCTATCTTGCACAAGGACTCCTATCCTAAATGCTGCACTGATCAATGATGTCTACGAAAGTACATTAGCAACGACTCAAGCAGAAATCAAATGCAAAACAAATCTGAACATTATCTAAACTATACGATCAATAGCAAATTAGAAATTTCTTGACCAGGTGCTAATCTCAATCGTCTTGAAGACAAAACCACACAAAAAATGTTTAATTAATAATGCTAAATAGCCAGGCAAATTTAACTTCAGTGGAATACACAAATTTTTAAAACTAGTCCATTGTACGCTTCATTTGATACATCAGACCAAGACTTTGAGGTGATATTGACCTAAAGCAGATCAAATTCGTTGCCCAGAGCACCCAGCAGCCTCTTTGTCCCAAAACTTCCATATAAGACATTAACACTTCTCTTGCTTAAACCAAGGACATGACCTCCACTTGTGGAAAGCTTCAAAGTCCTCACAGAACTTCCCTGAAATTTACCTACTTAGTTAGTTGTTTCAAAGTGTCAAAACCACAAAGTCAGTTAAAAAATGTATCTTGGTGTAAATTCACTTAGCTTTAAGAATGTTGTATTGGTAAACGTTTATCTACGAAGATTTCATTATAAAATCTCAAACATTGCTATTAATTTTTTCAAAAACATTTCATAAAAAGCACATTTGATTAATTTGTGTTTGAACAGCAGTTTCAAATTTAAGTGGAATGCTTCTTAGTGGTTTCGTGGTTAGTTTTTGCCTTCAAAATGCGAACATACTGTTTCTGGATCATGTTCTGAAAAGGTTCTGAAAAATAACTTATTTTTTTTACCTGTGCATTTCCCTCTCCTCACCTTCTCACATGGCATTACCACACGCTTGCAGTTTAACAGACCTTTTCAACAATTGCTCAGACTACAAAGCAAACAGTCTCAGCAGATAACAATCTAGTAATCTAATAGAAAATGCACCCAAGCATGACCTCTGCAAGTTCATTTTCAAAATCTGAAACTGCAGCATGTTAAAAATAAGGATTTTCATAGCTCCTTAAGATCACAAGGAAAAAAGTTGAGTTTCCTGAAAAAAAGTGCCATAAAATTAAAACACCAAGGCATGAACACATTTATAGGAATGATGGAAATACCTAGATAACTTGTTTACAAAATTTTCCCCAAACCCTAAAATGTTTGTTCCCAAACAATTTAACAGATAAGCCACAAATATTCTGTCACAATAAATTGTTTGGATAGGTGAAAGGCACATTACTATTAAATATTAACATAATAATTGCTGCGTGAAGATAAGGCAATACACTTTTCCTCTCCAGCTGTACAGGAATGACCCAATCAGGGTTACTAGTTCTTCTACTGAAAGGGGGCTATACCCCATACACTGACACATTTCTGAAGAAAAAAAAAATCAAGTTATATAGAAAAAGGCCTATGGTAAATTAATATTATTCAAAGGTTTCCTTGGACAGGGGGCAGTCTTTACATAATCACAAAAGATACTCATGTACTACAGGTCACTTTCAGGCAACCCACACAAACAAGTTTCCTTTCCATTAACCAAACCATTGCAGTTACAATCACCCTCACTTACAGCAAGGATATCTATCCATGTGATAGCTCTCATCACTTTTCCCTCAGGAACTATCTCACTGGTATTCTCCAAGCTGTTCATGATCACTTCAGCCTTTGTCCAGTACTTTCACTGTAGACAATAATCCAAGTACGAAGAAAATTGCTTCCTTTGGGAAGTATGCATGTTGGCATGAGTAATTCACCTATTTTAAGTACGCTTTATCACACTGCTAAAACATATACAAACACATATTATTTGACCTTTATTAGCAATAGCAGCACTATCTGCCAAGTACCACTAGGATACAATCTTTGAGATATTCCTTGTCTTTTGATAGCATGAGTTTAGCCAGATGTATCTGTGTTCCAAGAGGCAGAGGGATGCTTCCAGTCAGAATACAAATAGTAGAGGAAATATAAAAGGAGCTGCAGATCTCTGTACGGAATGGCAAATGTAAAGTAGAAGAAACAGCAAAGCCATTTCACATTAAAACAGCTAGCAAAAACCTTTAAAGGTTACAGAAAATCAACATCACAAACAAACTGCAAAGTGTTACTGCTAACTTTAATTTCAAGCAGCTAATAATGTTAGAGACATGCCAATCTCAAATTTATTCTTAATATACCCACATTCACCTCTCTCTTAGACCTGGGATGTGAGAGCATTTTAGTGAACACATAAACTAAGGTTTAAGATGCACTAAGATGAAATAAGCTTTGTTTTCAACAGTGTAAAAATCATTCTGACACATTTGCCTATTAGTGAAAGCATAAAGCATTTAATTCCTTAAGGTGTGAAAGAACTCTTCATTAGATAACTCAAGTAACAGGGTTATGTACAATCTTGCCATTTCTTTACTTCAACAGTTCTCAGCTCATTAATTCCTGCCCAAGTGAGCTGATAACTAACAGCACTCTATTAGGCACGCTGGTCAAGCTGGCATGTTTTTCTTATTTAGCCTTATCAAATACAGCTAGAGACTTCCTGTAAGTCTGTTAATTGCACCAGCTTTCAGTTCTACAGCAAACCCCTTTAACCTTTAGGATTGAGGGTCCACCTGCTTATGATAGATAACTTAAAAACCTGAGTCCTCAGCATAACCTCAATCCATACCTCATTTGACATCCGATCAATGATGAGCATATGAAATCACTGAAGCCAAAATGGAAATACAACAAAAAACAAATTAGGCAGCTCTTACAAAAATTATTACATTTTTGTTAAATCAAGTGCAATACCAAGGGCACAGGTACCAGGCTCTTAAAGTACCCCCATGACTGACAGCCAAGTCCTTCTGTTCATACGATAGCAGAATTAAGCTTCCCTGATAAAGCATCATTGAGCCAAGGACCTTTTCCTTCAGTTCCTCAGCAGATATTTTCACACTTCCAGCAGCACCGGACACACTGCGAGCAGGGGACATGCAGCCTTGATTCACCACAGGACAAACAGTGCCTATGGGAAAGCTCTTCCACGCAGTCACTGGAACTACAAAGATGAACCCCCATCAGTAGGGGGAGGGCAGGGAATGAAGATGAGGGAGGACGTGATGACCTTCCATCAACCCCTCATGCCACTTCTTCCCTTTGAGCCAGAGTAACTTCTGTTTCTGTGACTAGACTATGCAAAATTACTTGTCAAGTCTGTTAGGTTCAAGGCAATGTACTAATTAACCTACTCCCTACAGATCAATCACGTAAGTATGTGAAAAATAACCTTCCTGAAGAAGCCTATGCAGACAAAACTGACCAATGATAATAAATGTATACCTCATCTGTGACATTTACAGTCAAAGAGAAACTCCACTGAAAAAAATCAACAAATCTCATAACACCAACAACTTAACAGGTACTTTCCTCCTAGCTGATACTTGAAAATGTATTTCTATCTGCTGCTTCCGTATTTACATGACAGTTCTTTTTATCCTAGCAAAAAATTTCTATCCCTCTGGGCTACAGTTTCCCACCCGCAAACACAGACCAAATATAAGATAATGAAGTTTTCAAATTATAACACCTGCAAGAAACAAACAGCAGGTACCATAATATTATAGCGCAGCTAAATTTCTATTAAAAATAACACTGTGTTAACAGAAGTCTTTTTTTTATTTCCAAGTATTCAAACTGTTATAACACATATGCCAATTAACCATTTTTTATTTTAACATTAAGGTAATTACAGTTGAAGGGCTTTTATTTCCAGTGGCCACTCTGCATTGGACACCACCAGAGCAAAACATGAAACATTCCACATGGCTAACAATAAGACATTTGAGTTACCAGAATTACAATCATCAACCTTTTTTTTCTGCTAACAGATCACATACATACATAACCAGGGCCATTTCCTTTACAAGAAATACCAAAATTAGTACTGCATTTGTTTATTTTCAATATGAACATCTCTACATATGAGCAACATGGTACATGACAGTTTGATTATCACACATACAGTACTTTGGCAGCTCTTTGATGTGTTTTTCCCCCTAAGCTCCGTAGTAGGCTTAATTTATAAAACATATTGCTAACATGCCCTGCAAAAATACCAAGAATCAAATGTATCTTTCATCACCTAAATGGGAGATGGAGCAGTGCTTTTATCTTGCATTAGACAGCCTTGTCATACATGCACAATTTTCTTCCATGGGTACTTCTACATATATCCTAGCTAACGCTGTCTGCAAAAAATAATCTTTATTAAAAAAAGATTTGAATTTTCTTCTCAAAGTAGAGAACCTACAGATGATTACATTACAAATCATACTATTTATTTCAAAATAATACTGAATGTGTCACACTTTTATCAAGGTTACTTGCATATTACCATCTTACAAGCACATCAGTAACCTGATCAAGTCATCCCATTTTGAGTTCATTTGTGAAACTGACTTGTCTCTTTTGATACCTACTGATAACTCACAGTTCGTGGTTAACAAATACTAATTTATTTTAATACCTCCACCATCAATTTCCACATGAAAACTAATTGCCATATTAAAACTTTTCACTTACTCTCCCTAAATGAATTATTTTAATTTCCCACCTTCCTTAACACAACTGACCTATTAGCACAGTAATCTAAGTGAGGACAATCTTCCCTCTAATATAATCATAACTTTTAAGTAGCCACTTCAAAGTTCTGAGGTAAAATGCATGAAATCTGGTTGCAAAATTTCAGACTTAAAGGAACAAAATCATATTATATATATATTGCAATAAAAAACACCTAGAACCTGTCTACTGTGATCTGAAGCAATTTATTTCACTATCTGTGAAATTTTAACAGCTATTTCATATTTTTTCTATTTGGTCCAAATAGCCCTATATGTTTTAAGTCACTCAAAAAAGAATGCTGCTCCCAAAACCACATTTGCTACTACAAACATCTCTTCACCCTTTTGTTCACCCTCAAGCAGTTCTTAAAAACTTAAAAGATTTCTTGAGCTATACAAAAGCAGATCTTAATTTTATTTGCAATATGTCAACATTGGGTAAGTTAAAAAGGTGAAGATATGTGACATGTTTAAACTAAGTAACGTGCACTTAATTTGATGAAGTCTCTCTTCCTCAGCCTTTAATGGTTATTTGCATTGAATGATGAACTCCACAGCACATAAATAGTGTATGGCACTTAAAATGTCTGCAATATAAACAACTATATCAAAGTGTTCTGTAATTAAACAAACAGTAAATCTTGTTTATCTATAAAAAATTTAGATACGTTATCATTAAATGGGAAAATTACAAACTAATTAAGTTGGACGTTCACTAGTCTTGAAATGTCCTTTTTCGTGATGTTGTTTTCTCTTCTTGCTTGCTCAATTATGTCAGTAAATGAACTTCTCTCATTGTGCTTCCTTTTCTTCACTGTAGTTATTTTGTGCCAGCAAACTTTGATCTTGCATCATTAACATCTACTCTGGTGTGCTCCTCATATCGTCAAGCTCTCCATCACATTCTCCCTTCCATCACTAGTGACTGTCACCACAAAGCCCTTCCTCTAGGGCAGCATCTTGTATAACAGAGCTTCCACGGGGCAGAGGCTTTTCTGTCCAGGAGGTAGCGGGGCTGAGCAGCCAAGCTCGCTGGGTCACGGTGTGCCGTGCACAGGGTAAGCTCCCTGCGCTGCTAAGCGCCTTCTGCACAGAGATAAGCCAGCAGTGCACACGTGAGCTTCAGGAAGCAACCCGAGTTCAGTGGTCTGGGCAGGCAGTGTGGATGGGGCAGAAACATGACAGAGACATTTTGGCTGCAGCAGTTTTAACCCTGTTTGATTGTTTTAGCTGTGTTACAGTCCAATTTAAGCAGTAATTTCAAATTAACACAGACTCTACAGACAGGTAAATCGCTCCTTTTCTATAGAACAACTGGTTAATTACGTGTTCCAGAATTAATTTAATGAAAACTTTGAAGAGTGTACTAACTAACAAGCACATTTGGAGCCTTTAAACACTGTCTTACTCTGAGGTATACGTCTACTACTGTAGAACTTTATGCTTCACATCTAAAGTAAAAGAAAAAAGGCTACTTGCATTTTCTAGGTCAAGCAAACTTTAGAAAAATGGGAAGAGAGCATGTGTTTTGTGTTCAAGTGTTATTGTTTAGCATAATCCTTCATGCAAGTGATGCAAAAAGTTATATTCAAGACTGTTTACATCTGAATAAATAGGGTAAATTAGCAAATACAGTATTGAAAATTATCTACAAAAACGTGTTTTTCCAAGTATTCACTGTTTGTATCAAGTCTTAAAGCAGACAACTGCAGGGCAATACCAAAGAAAATGGAATAAAAGAAAAAGTGAAACAGACATTTTAAGAAATCCCCTCAGAAAACAAATTCAGTTACTGTAAACTAAACTGAACTTAAAATAATGACTAAAGCTATTAGGTGGCCTTATCAGCAAACACCTTCAATCAAAAGGCCATAAACAAGTATGCTTTACATATTACTTGGTTTGTTTATTTTACACCATGGGGTGAAAGCAACACAATTCCTTTTAGTAAAGTATACACAAATAGCCTCACTCAGAATACACTTTTAATGCACATAAAAAAAGTATTCATCTTACAAATTGTTTTGCAATCCAAATATACAATAGCTTGGAAAACAATATTTTAGAAAACTAAAGCCAATGTAAAAAGACTGCTTAATACAACTAAATGATATAAGTTTTTGTATGGCTCTGTCTTTAGAGTTTTCTTACTGCATCATCAATATCAGAAATCTGTTCCTTCAGCTGGTTCCACTGTTCTGGATTTAAAGAAATACCTGAAAAGCATTAAAAACAAACACTTAAGACAAAAAGAGAATTGTGGTGCAGGATCTTGTGCAATTATTATAAAGGCTGCCTTCATACACTAAGCCCATATTATAATACTAATACTTGAGTTACTTCAATAATCATCTTAGTTACAAAGTGAAACTATCCATTTCCAATGCTTCAACTTCAGGTTATCTCTAAACAAGTTTACAAAGAAAACGTATGTGCAACAAATAATTGTACAAGTACTAGGCTTAACACAAGGAGTGAAATACAACTCTGGCCTTGACAGAAGGCAGTACAAAAGCCCTAGGTGATAAGTAAGAAATCACTTGCACTCTTGTTAGTTCGTAAAAGCTGTACCTATGCAGACAGACCTGCTGTGCACTTTTCAAGTACTGTAATTCTGATGGGGCTTTTTCCCCTTCTGTTTTGTAAAGCACTGTAAATTACAGGTGCTGTAAGTAAACTTTTGGAGAGACTCTGTACTCCTCCCCAGCACTCACAACCAACACCAAAGCTACCTTTTACTTCAAGTTCCCTATAGTTTCTAGTGATATTCAACCAGTAATCATTCAGTACCCCACAACCCATCACTTCAGTTCTAAATTTGATCATATCTTCCCCTCAAGCTTGAGTACCTGCATAAGTTTTGGTTGTGCTTTGGTCTACTCATTCTTACCCTAAAATTTCTACACCACTCTGTGGAAAGTGCAGGCTCCCAGGGCTCCCAGTCCTCTCATACTTTCTCCTGTAAAGCTCTTCCACTAATTACTCCCATTCTCCCCCTCCAAGTGATAGTTTTCCTTCATTGCTTTCTCTCTGAACATGGAGCAGGACCTGAAAACAGCTGAAACTTCGAATTCCATTTTTGGAGCCCATAGCTTTTCTATTCTTTACCATCACTGTCTTATCAGAGCACCACCACAATTTTAAGCAGCAAGTAGTGTACGTGGAGTTTCTCTTAAGCGTCTTCCACCAGCCTTTGGAGGGCAGGTTTCATCTGAAAACCAGTCAGATGTGCTAATCATCATTAGGGGATTAAATGTCATGAAGATTGATGAACCATGACCAATGACTAGATGAACCAAATAAAATTCAGACCTGCTGCTTCAGACACTGACAGAAATTTAAACTTCGGGTTTATTTTTATTACAGAATGTATTGCTTATTCTGGTTTCAGAATAGCTAGATGAGCAGCTTATGAGTGCATCAAGGAAATATTAAGACTCACATACTGTATCAGATTATTTTTATCATAACAAAATTCAGCCTCTTTTGCTGCATTGATGAACACTTATCTACGTATGTTATTTTTGTCACTTGGCCCACCCATCCAATCTTGTTGTACTTTGCCATTCAAAATGCATATACTACTGAATTCTAACACAGAACATGAAGTCCTTAGAAGTTAGAGTAATCTTTAACTAGCAACCAGTCCAAAACCAGCAATTTTCCTGCAGAACATCAGTATACCTGTTCATGCAAACCTATTCTCAGTGATTATTTAAGAAAAGTTGAAAGTACTTCTCAAACTTTCCAAATTACTGTTTGCTGAAATTCTCCTGAACACACCAAAAGAATGTAACAAACCTTACAGTAATTGTAAATTGTACATTAAATTTCTTCAAACTTAGCAGCCTGCCAGTACATGAAGCTGGGGAAGGACTTTTTGCAACAGCATGTAGTGACAGGACAGGGAGGCATGGCTTCAAACTGCAAGTGGGTAGATTTAGATTAGGTATTAGGAAGAAATTCTTTACTGTGAGTGTGATGAGGCATTGGCAAAGGTTGCCCAGAGAAGCTGTGGATGTCTCATCCCTGGAAGTGCACGAGGCCAGGCTGGATGAGGCTCTGAGCAACCTGGGATAGTGGAAGGTGTCCCTGCCCACGGCAGGGAGTGGGGTTGAATGAGGTGATCTTCATGGCCCCTTCCAACCCAACAATCCTGTGGTTCCGTGAATCCGCAGGGCAGAATGTTTCATACTTACCTTTCCCTAACGCTACAGGAAAATGGATAAAAAGTAGATTTTTCAAGGAGAAGAAACAGAACATCAAGCACAGCACCACTACTGCAATTGTCCTGCAATTCCCATCTTGAGATGTGGAAGTTGTGAAAATGGTTCAATGAAGCCCTACCATGAAAAGCAACTGTGCAAGTGGCAACTATAAGTACAATGGCTTGTGCTGTGCTGCAGATTACAAACTTGGGATACTTGAGATATTTTCCCCTCTACTAAAATATTTTTCAACATTTTTTTTCATAATTAGTCACATTTTTCATAATTAGCTTTCATAATTAAATGTTTAGGTTGTTTTAATCTACAATTTAGTAGAAACTGAAGGAGGTGGCTGGTTGAACAAAATTAAAACCTTATAAAAAGATTAAATATTTTCAGTTAATTCTGAAATAAGAAATCCAACCATATGAGGAAATTCGGTTTGTCATGTTAATCAACTGAGGCGGGGGAAAATATGGCTATGGTATAAACATGTTTATAACTCCTCTACCCTATTTACTTGTATTTGACACCTTGCTTTCATGGAGAATCCCTTTAGGAAAACAGACTCAGGTCAGCAAACCCACTTAAGATTTTGTTCATAAGCTACAGAGAAAACTAAGCCCTTGTAAAAATACACATCATAAGTAAGTAAAAATACTACTAAAAAAGTATCATGTAGCGACAAAGGAGAAAAATATGATATAGGAAGTTCTACTGGGAAGTGCAGACCATGTTTTAATACAAAGTAACATGAAGCAGAACAATACCTTTTCTGCCAGGCTTCATTTCACCTTCTTGATCCATCCAGTATTCTCTAATATCAATTAAGACTTTCCCTTTAAAGTCCCGAACACTGACATACCTCATTTTGCCAATCTGTCAAAACACATATAAGGGTCTATTAGGTATTTTACATATTACAGCATTCACTTTCCCCAGCAGCATTAGACTCTGACATGTGACACTGCACACTGCAGTTTATTTTAGACACCACAGAAAAAAACTAGATTAAAAGCTTAATTCAGAGTAGTCAGTAGGCTAATAAGTAACGACTTAAAACTAGTTGAGCAAGCAATGCTCCATGTAGAAGTACCTCTCCTAGAAGAGAAATACCTGTATTCTTTACATGCATGCTTCTAGCAAGTCCTGAATCTACTGTTTTCTGAAAAATTCCTTTCTTTGCAACAGTTCTAAACAAAGAAGGAAACAGGGAGCACTACTCCCAAATCTAAATTTTAGTCCATTCCCCAAGAGCAAAAAGCAAATTAGATGTTCAACATGATACCTTCCTTTTTTTTAACACAGTAAAAAGATAGAAATGCCCACTCCCAAGTCCTCATGGGTACCTCACTGTACCACCACCAGGTCTTCAAAAGAAAAAAAAGTCACATCATACAAGTTTACCAGCACATAGCCCAGTATGAAATTTTGAAATTTAGTATTTTTCAAACCAGTGTCATAACTGAATTATATGGGCACCTTTTTTGGGGGGGCTGGAGTGGGGAGAAGTTAGGGAAGAATCATACCATCAAGTACATAATGCACTATGTATTTGGGCTTATTCAATATCTTTCCCAATATGATAAACTATGTATGCACATAAATTACATGAACAAGGTGAATTTGAGAACCAGGAACTAGGTAATTAATATATAATCAAATAAAACTTCTAAGAAATCCTTTGAATTCTGCATATACCTTCTGGACACGTTCTATATAACAAAAGAACAGATTCTAAAGGAAACTATTTTCAAATAAAATATTCCTTCCTGGTAAAACACTACCTTTCAATTTCAACTTCCTTTATCACTGCATGTTGCATTTGATACAATTTAAGGACGGGCCCTACACTTCTGGCCCAAAAACACTAGCATGAAGTTTGACCATGAAGACTGAAGAAGTCTCCAATTAACTACAATAATTCACAGATGTTTAAGTTATATGCTCTTATTTCACAAGATATATATAAACATAAATACCTTATCTTTGCATAAAGCAATTTTTCTTCTGCAGATGCTGTATGACATCTAAAATCGATCTTAGAACAATTAGGACAATTTAGATAAGTCTATAGCACTTATCCTACTTCAAATCAATCTTTAAAATTAAAAAGACATTAGTTCATAATACAGTATTTTTAATTGGTAAAACTACAATCCAAATTTAAAACACAGAAATGAAAGTATAATGTTATGGCAGCTTAGCTCTTTCAGACCAAACCGGGTACCATGTCCAAGTCCATCTGCACTCCCGGCAAAGAATATCCTAAACAGCCTACAAGGACAACATTTATTGGTTTTACCCTTGAACACTCCAGTAACTTTTAAGGTCAACTCTAGGAACAGCTTCAACCAGTACCACTCTACAGCAGCTTTTTTTACATGGCTATTGAAGAATATTAGTGCCTTGCCAAATAATTCCAGATCTCTTTTAAGAAATAAAATCTAATTCAATATAGCAGATTACAGCTGCAAATATAGTAAAAGGGTTTAGAATGTGAATTTCAACGATAAGAAAGACTCTATGTCTTAATTCAACCACATTAAGGTGAGATGCAATAATGCAAAGTTCACATTCATTCGATCGTTTAGTCTACCTTAGATAAAAGCATTTCTCTACGTAAATGCTGAAATTAGGTTAGATTTCACATCATATCTAGATTTCAGATTAATGTTCCAAATAAATTTCAGATATTTAGTTGAACTCTATGCAAAAGCTGCTACTCCTAGAATTTTTAAATAGGCTTCTAAACTACAGTTCAATCTACACTGAAAAACACAAACAAAATCTAGACTTAACTAGTTAAGTAAATTGCTGGTTAGCTACCTATAACTCTGGTACAGGTTCATTTCTGAACAATTCTTTTTTCATGCACCTGCTGATAATGTTAAAAGTCATTTCAGAGATTGAAGGTATTTTTGTATCTCTGTAACCAGAGCAACATTCCAGGGGTTGCTGTACTGGGAAGAATTAGTTTTCTTCACATTGACTGATGCGGGGTTGTGTTTGCTTTGTGCCGAACACAGTGATGATAACACAGAGATGTTTTAGTTACTGCTGAGCAGAGCTTACACAGAGCCAGAGCCTTTTTTGCTTCTCAGCACTGCCACACTGGCAGGGAAGCTGGGGGTGCTTGGCAGACTGGGAGGGGACACAGCCAGGAGAGGGGACCCCAACTGACCAAAGGCCACTGTCCAGACCACGTGACATCATGTTCAGGATATAAAGGGGAGGGAAGAAGAGGGAAAGGAGCATTGTTTGGCATGATGACATTTGTCTTCCCAAGTGACACTTAGACGTGATGGGCACTGCTCTCCTGGACATGGCTGAACTCCTGCCTGCCCATGGGAAGTCAGGAATTAAGTCCTTGTTGTTCTGCTTGCACTTGTGGCTTCTGCTTCCCCTATGAAACTTTCTTTATCTCAACCCTCGACTTTTCCAGCTTTTACCCTTCCAGTTCTCTCCCAATGCCATTAGTGGGGGTGAGCAAGTGGCTGCCTGGGGTTAAACCAAGACAGTCATCATGATTTATAGCAGAGTACTTAGTGCAGTTCAACCTTCAAAGAGAAGTTCATATACTTTTTATTGAATAGTACAGATCCTTAGATTATGCTATTCTATTGACTTACATTAATCGGTAAACATTAAAACTATTATTTCCAGGTTTCTATTTCTTAGAATAAAAAGCACTAAACTGTATCTCTGTTCCTCTGCGTATCCAGAGATATGCAACTGACTTCCTTTGTGAGTTTCAACAAGCATCTTCTTTATCCTTTTTCCTATTTCCAGTTTTTCTGGATTAAACTGTACACCCTCAGTGCAAGCATAAGCAAAAAACCCTCTCTCTTCCCTAGCCAATAACCACATGTAAGGATCACAAGACTCCTGTAAACACTAACATCTGCAACAAAGCAAATTGTGAAATGCATCGGTGACCACCTAAGTTTCATAATTAGCATGCGAAACCAATCAGTTTCAGAGTATCATAAACTTCTATGTTTACCTTCTTTCAGGAACCTGTGATAAGAACACTGGAAAAATCAAAGTACTTACTTCTCACAAGTCAACGCCCAAATATAGTGAAAACTCAAAAACCAACAAAAAAAGGGTTGGGGAGGTGGACAGGACAACACAGAGACAACTTCTGAAGTAACAATTTCAGTTAAATGCATGATCATGCAACGTGGTTCTCTGATCTAAGTAGTTATTAATAAATACTGACAAACCTTATCCAGATCTGGCATAGGATAGAATAGGATAGGATGATAGGATTAGTCAAACTAACCAAAGCACATGGAGCAGAGCTTGAAGCCACAGACAGGAATCCAGTACATCAAGGCTAAACCCTTCCATGTTCACACAAATAATGCCTGTCCTTAGGACCTCAAGTAATACATCACACATGGGAGTAACACAAATTTCTGCAACCTAACAGCACACAAATCCTTCATCAAGTTGCACAGTATACTAGGTTCCCTATAAAACCTAATAAGGCCAAGACATGCAAATACAGAGAATATACCCTCTTATATTGAGAAAATTGTCTTTACTTACATTAACACTATTCTTCATAAGTAGTTGCAAAAAAAACCATTACACCAACGAACTCAAGCAACAATATAAATACATATTTATGAAAACGTTGAATCTACTGAATACAGCAGTCACAATGAGCTCTATATTAAGGGAATCTCTATGCTTCAATAACACAATCTGAGGGTGTAGAACAAGAAGACTCTTGGTTTCACATCATTTGCAGCCACTCCCACACACAATATGGACACCATAGAACTTGTGACAATCCTATGAATGCTTTACAGCCTGATTTCCATTACCTGACGCCACTCTTGTAAAGCTATACTGCAAAGTCACTTCCACATCAGAGATCATTTTACTGCCATGAGAGAGAAGCTCTCCAGAAAGGTTTCTAGTATCACTAAGAAGCCTAGAACAAACAAAACTATATCTAAAAAATTAACAAACATGCCCTCCCGTGTAGGAGGGAAGAAGGGGGAGTATCCTCAGACCTACTGCAGTTTTATTTCTATACTTTAACATTTGCATGTTAGTTACTGCACAGAGGTTGATGTAGACTACAAAACTGACAATGCTTCACTATAACACAGTGAGAAATCTAAAATATATTTTATTGTTGATTATTTCAAAGGCAGGCACTGGGTAACACTAATATTTTAGGTCAATGTGATATTCAAAGATCTGTATTCTACTCAACACCAGAAGAACCCTGTTCTTATCAGAGTAATATGAGCCCTCTACTGCCTGTTTTTAGTAACTTTTTATTATCTTGGGCTGAAGAGGTTTTAAGAAACCAGAGCATGCATACTTTTGCTTTATTTGAAAGGGTCTAGGTATGTTTTTGCGTCAGGGGAACACTAAAAATTTTAAAGTTTTTTCCAAGGCTGGAATTTCTGAACTTACTACAAACATAGCATTAAGTTTATACATAGTTCTTTAGAGTTCTACCTGTAGTTCACATCTAAAGTTGTAGAATTCACTGTTTCATTTTTCCTACAGGGCTCAAAGCATGCCCAAGCAGAACTAAAAATATTATACACTTCCTTCAATACAGAAGTCCAGACACAGCCGTCAAGTCAAGTTCTCCCTCCTAAATATAACTGGAAAAGTAAGAATTCAGACATTAAAAATAACTGCCCTGTATGACAGTATCAGTTAATCAGGTCTTCTCTCTAGAACATACTTTTCTTCCCCTGTATTGCTTCACACGACTACAGCCCAGAACCATTTCATTTACATTACTCTACGCTTGGGTCATCTCATTAGGCACCTTTCCCATATCCTGTCACAAACTCAAGAATCAAAGCCTCAAGAATTTAAGTTCCTTTCCAGCCAGCTAGTCAGAGACCTTTAATAGATCTTGATCCATACCCCCAAAATAGCTAATTCTGAGCTGTGTATCAGCTCTTTCAGCACACACTGCTACTGCCTTGGCTAACCCCAGCAACTGCAATACCCTGAATTCAAAAATGCATCTTTCCACTGAAAAACAGACATTGATCCCATCTTAAAAACAAGGCAATACTACAAGTTCCTATCCTTATGGATGTTCAGTGATAAGACTCTGCACCATAATAGAAAGGAACAAACAAAACTTAATCCAAGATGCTGTCACAACACAGGAGGCCAAGCTGCCCTTGACCTAGTTAAACAGGAACGAAGAGCCCACACTTTGGTTTCCAAGAACATTTTTTTCAGGAGACCTAATTAAAAAAACACTTCCATGTAGAGACAAACCTGATCTAACATTTAAAGTATACTGATGGTAAGTGCTGTATTTACTGACAAAATGACTACCCAGAGATACCAGCAGCAAGGTCATGAGAATCAGATCAACTGATACAACTCAGATTCTTTTACTCTGCTGAAACTTGACCAAGCTTTTCTGAGCATCTCATCTGAATGCCAGCATCGTAATCCCCTTCAGCCAAGGATTCAGGAGGCCAAGCACTACACAGTCAAGAAATTCACACCATCTCATAAAATTCATACAGCATATAATATAACATTAACTTAACCAGGCTCTATGAGTCATCAATTTTACCTGAAACATATTCTCATCTCTGTTACTGCTTTGCTTAGAAGAAGCTGCACCTTTTGAACTTTCACCAGTCTTTTGTTTCTTTACAGGTTTTTCTGCAGTCACTTGCTTTTTCCGCTTTGCCTTGGAGCAAAACAAAAAAGGAAAAGCATGAGCCACAATCACTCTGTACACAACAGTTAAGTTCACATTGTATGTCATGGCCTACTACCAAGCAATGCACTTTATCACCTTCTTGCTGTGTGTGATGGCAGGAACCCAATGCCGTCCATTTAGAATCTAAAAACTTCAAAATGAGCCTGATTCTGTTATCGGTGAAGTAATACTTTGGCTTTAAAGAGAATTTAATCAGAGCAAAATATATTTCAAAAATCCTTCTTTCTGCATAGTAACATTGTCAGTTCAGTACTTTAAATAAATTTAAGTCTGATGGAAATGGCACCCTCTTCTCCACTAAGTGGAACAAAAAGCACAGAACAGTTTGCAACACCTCCAAAAAGAAAAAAAAAAGCTAGATAACAAATAATTTGGAAAGATTATTTATTAATATAATTAATGCAATTAATATAATTAAGAAAGGATCTGGAAACCACCTCTATCAGACCATAGTTTTTTTAATAAGCATCTAATCACTGCCCACAGCATGATACATTATGTGACGTTTTAAAGCATTCAGACAATATCACCTGTAAATCAGATAACCCAGAGAAGCCGTAAAGTTCCTACTCATGTAAAAAGAGACCAGACCTCTTCATGTACTGTATTACACTAAAAGACTTGGTGCCTATGTTACCACCTACCACTTCTTTAAAAAGATAAACTATTTTTTTCTGATTTTTTTCAAAGTGATTGGTACATGTAAACTTCTAACTTAAATAACTACTTAAATTAAACGGGAACATTTGATTTATATATTTAAAACAGTCATCTTAAAATTTATCAAGTCAAAGACACTCAGATTGGCTCAGCTTTTAAGTGAGAAACTAGCAGATGGTGTAACAGCAAATAAAATGAAGCAGAGAAAAAAACCCATGCAAACAAGATAAGCAAGTGACACAAGGAGCACAGGGCAAGTGGATGGAGAAGTACTCTAGATATTATAATGGCAGCATTGAGGCATGTTCTCATGTCCAAATTCTTGTCACCAGGGCAGTTGATACAGAAGCATTCAGAAGCTTGCCACAAAGCAAGAACCACAAGAAATTTGCAATTATCATATGGAATGGCATGAAGAAAACGAAGTGCAACTAAAGAAAAAAAACTTTTCTTCAGGGCAACAATTATGCAATCCACCCATACTTGGAAGGTGGGTTGTTTGGTTTTTGTTGTTGTAGTTGTTGAGATGGGTGGGTGGAAGAGAAAGTTTCTTAAAGTGTGATAAATCATATGGAATGACATGCATTTTATGACATAATGCTCACCTAATTCTTTAAACCCAGCCTGAAAGAAAAGAGTTAATACAGTAATGAACTGCATATATTGTTCACCTTTTTGTCAACTTCACTATCTGAATCACTGGCAGATGAGCTTGAAGATACAAGTTCCTTTGATTTAGGCATTCTGGGAAAAGAAAAATAACATGAGAACACTATATAAGGAATGACATTCCATTTTGGCTGGAAAGCAATCTTCAAACCTGTTTGTACTGGCTCATCTTCTTCAAGACCTCCTAAAGATTTTCCTGCCTTTTCATTTAAGCCTTAATACATACTGCAGATGCAGTATCAAGCACTCTTCCCTCTTATCTCTTCCTCTTTTTCTACAACTGCATTAAAACACATTTAGAGCACAGTGTTTTGACTTCTGAACTGTCTATAGCACAATGATTTTTCACAATTTTCATATATCCCTAGACAAAATCCACAATGTAAAATACAATGTATAATACTGCCCTCCAGCTGAATCCTTTCTATGACATCCACAAACACGAATCATTAACACCAGCAATATCAATACTCTGACATGGGCATTTCACCCAGCTGGACTTGCAGGTAACACGCTGCACAACTGTAATACACATGACACTCAAGCTCCCACCTATAATCTAGCGGTCTTTAACACACCTCAGTTACAGAGAGCCACAGTACTGCAATCAATATTTTCACTGCTACTTCAACACATCAGTCACTGGAGACAATTAATTCGCCAGACAAGCAGACATTCAGCATTCCTTGAATGCGTGCTGCCAGGTGTCTTTGCATGTCACCCTGGTATGCAAACATGTGGTTAGATATAGTGGTTACACATCTTCCCTGCTGCTAGAAACTCTTTGTAACAAATATACAGATCATTTGTTCTTTTAGAATAAAATTAAGTATTCCTGAAACTGTACAATACAAACCTCAGCAAGGAGAGACCAGGATAATATTACAGAGTTATCTCAGGAAAGAAAGGAGTAACAGCGTTCTTAAAACGGGCAGTGAAAGAAAAACCCACATATGCAAATAAAAAAAAATAATTAAAAAAAACAAAACCACAACAAAACAACCAAACCAGAGTCCAAATAATGCTAGTGGATCAACGTGGTTTTAAAGTAGGGCAAGACCTGTGGTATAGCTTGTAGCACAAGGACGGAAGCTGCAGCACGGCACAGGATACAGGGTGTGAGGAAGCACACACAAGCCACGCTCTAGGATGGAGGTAGAGGATCGCTGGAATGGGGCAATGTGAAAATAAGCAAACAGATGAGACTGAGTCGGCAAGCTAAACGATGTTTCGGAGGATGACCCAGGGGTCCGCATGGGAAGGATAAAGGGACAATATGGAGGAAGGCGTGGGCGGAAAAGGAGGAAAAAGGGATGTGGGATGGTGGGTGCCCCCCGGGAGAGGCTGAGCGTGAGGAGACACCGCAGCGCCGGCGAGGGGACGGGATAAGCCGGGCCAAAAGAGAGCGGGGAAAGGTAAGGAAAGGAAGACGAGCCTGGAACTCCAGGTAGGCGGATCCCAGCCGCCATTTTCCTCCCCTATTCCTCTTTTCCACGGCTCGTCTCGCCCCTCAAAGAGAGTTGAGGCCCGAACAAGGATGGGAGCGAGCGGGTGGGTGGGCGAGAACGCCCGAGTCTTCCCGGGGCAGGACGGCAGCAAAGAGACTGCGGGTTACCCGTGGCGGAGCGGAAGAAAAGGACAACATGGAAACCAGTGGGCCAGGGGTCGCCGGCGGGCTGGGGCTGCTCCCGGCGCGGGGGGGAACGCGGCCGGGCGCCATCTTCTCCCTCTATCAGACTCTGTGCCCCCCAACATGGCAGCTCCCCCTCGGCAGCGGCGGCTCGCTCTTCCCGCTCCACAGCGGGGTATCCCTCCCGCTGGCCACCGCGGGCACTCGAGGAACAAGGGGAAGCCTCGCCTCGGCACAACCCGGCTGCGGCTGCCCCAAATCGAGCCGGGAGGTGCCGCGGCGGTGGGGCCGTGGGAGGGGGCACACGGGAGAAGATGGCGGCGTGGCAGGGGCGCAGGAGGGGACCCAGCACTCACGTCCTGCTCCGCGCGTGGCTCCTCCGCAGCGCGACACAGACGGAACTGACGCGGCTCGGAACGCCCGCCCCGGGCCGCTCACGTGGGGCGGCGGAGGGAGGCTTTAAAGGGGACGCGGCCCTTTGTCCCCGTCGTCGCTCGTTCCCGCCTCCCCTCAGGGGCGGGATCATAGTGCTGGAAAGGAGATTTTACAGGATCACCGGAAATCCCGAGTTGGCGGAGAGCTGCCTACAAGTTGTTCGCAGAATACATCGATTACAAGTCGATTACAAGGACGCCCCAAGAGTCACACTCTGTGCCTGAGAGCGTTGACCGAACGCTTACTTCTTGGTGCTGTGACCACCTCCGTGGGGAGCCTGTTTTGGTGCTCAATCACCTTCTGAGTGAAAAACTTTTTCCGGGTACCCAACCTAACCCTCCCCTGACTCGCCATCGAGAGTGAAGAGATCGGTACCTGTCCCTCCGCTTCCCCTCGTGAGGGAGCTGTAGATTGCGACAGACATTAGGAAGAATTTCTTCGCATAAATGATTAGACATTGGAATGGGCTGCCCAGGGGTTGGTGGAGTCACTGTCTCTGAAGATGTTAAGGAAAGACTGGACATGGCACTTGGTGCCATGGTCTGGTTGGCGTGGTGGTGTGGAGCCATAAGTTAGACTCGGTGGTCACAAAGATTTTTTCGAAATTGATTCTGTGGTTCTCTGAAGTATCCCCTCAGTCTTCTCCAGGCTGAAAAAAACGCCTACAATAATTCACAAATAGCAGATTTTTTCACGCTCTGTAGCGGTTCCTCGATGCCGCTCGGGGCCGCCCGGGGCAGCGGCGTGAGGCGGCTGCGGCTGCGGTGGCTTTGCATAGCGGAACCACGGCCTCGCCGCACCTGGGGCGCCGCTCGGGAGCCCCTCCGGATGGTTCCCCTCCTGTTGTTTTCCCTCCTGATGATTCCCCTTCGGCCCCCGGTGCCGTGGGTTTCCTTCTCTTACCGCGGGGCTCTGCAGCTGGGGACCATCAGGGCAGGCACCGCGCGGCTGAAGCACCGGGGATGGAAGGTTAAAGCCGCCTCAGCCCCTCTTTTAGACACCTACATTTTAAAAGCTGTCCGAGTAAATAAAGAATCTTGAAAAGATACTGATAATGTTGCTTTATTTTCTGTAGCGTGTTCGTGCGATGGTGCATCTCCAGCACGTTACTGAGAAGGGCTTGACGGGGTTAGTTCACCTAAAGGAGTTCTGCTTCTGAGAGACACCCAAATATAAGGGAGGTGAGGAAAGGCCCTCTGCCCTCAGCTTTGTAAGAGGCGATTTTTAGCAGACTGCGATAAGCCAGGCATGCTGTCAGAGCACTAAGTGGCTTCATGTTGTGTCTTCTGTGTTACCTGTTTGAGCCTTTCAGGTTATGATGAATGTAATGTTATGAATGTATAATTAATATAATGAATTTAGTATTATTGCAAACATTAAAATACCGTCATGATTCACATGACACTAACACGTCTTGCTCCAATTTTCTGATCACTGTTTGCAGCAATGGGTCATGTAGTGGTGTTGTGAGCAATGACAATTTTTCAAACACCAGTTGAGTCCTTTTCTCATTCTTACTAATTCTAGACTTATGCTTTTGCTACCATGTGAATGCAAGCTTTTTGCAAAAAGTGCAAGCAAACTATAAAAAATAGGAAGTGGACTGTTGTGCTAATCCCAGCTTTCAGATAAAGTTGATACAGGCTGAGTAGGCTGATCAGCTTTCATATTTTCGATTTTTCAATAGCAAACACCTATTAATAAAGTGTTGAAAAACAAAAGTCTTCAGCCTTATTTTTTTTTTAATTGCAAAGATCTCTGTTTATTAATATGGGCCAGAAAGGCAAACATCATGTTTCTAGAGGGAATAATCCCCCAAAATCAGCATGAGCAGCTGCAATTTCTATGCAGTGTTTCTGAAGAAGTACTTAAAGGAGCTGGGCAAAGAAGTTTTTAGAGGGGATCCATGAGGCCTTTTGAGCCCTTATCACGAAGGAAACTGGCTTTTGCTGTGAGAAGTGGCTTTCACTTCTTCACTTTAATAGCAGGAAAACAGGAAGAAAATACCAGAAATAGGAAGTGTATGCAATTAAATAATCCTTGGTAACCTGCAGTTTCACCATGTCATGTAGGTCACAAAATGAAAAGAAAAATAGAAAAATATACAATTCTTACTACATCTCTGACCTTTGGAAGATAAAAATTATGGTTGTTTATATAAACAGAGTCAAAGCACAGTAAATTATATGCAGGCAATATAGAAATTATCACCACTGCACCAACATCTGGCTTATCAAGCCACATAATTGTGGAAGATGAACAGATTATATTGCAATTCTTAATGTTTAACTCCAACAACAAGATCATCTCCAAATATGGACTATTAATTTCTAAAAAAACATAGTTACTCTTTTCAACTAACTTTCACTAACTTTTCATGTTAGAAACATGAGAGTTCAGGTGTGCTATATATGTCCTATATGCTTTGCTTTTTTTACAGGTCAACACTTGGTACACAAAGAATGTTCAGGTTTTAAGCAAATCATCAAGGAATTGTTTATTCAAATCAACAATTCTTTATGATTTTTAATCAATACTTTCAGTATTGACATAAATTAAACTGACCAAAATAAACATTTTCTGCTGGCTCTTAATGAGTTAATTTCTCCCACCTGCAGTATTTCCTCCAAAGCAAGCACCAAGTTTATTTTTACAGCTGAATTCCTAAATAGCAGGTCAGTGAGGGGAGAGGAAAGTTTGCTGCAACTGCGATTTTATGTTCTGCTTTTCAGGAATGATACATTTCTTTGAGAAATATTCTGGTCGTTGAGTGTAGCGGCGTTTTGAGCTTTTGGTGAATTACCTTCACTATTTTTGGTTATATTTAGAAAAGAAGAAACAAACTACTAAGAAAAAATGCTGACTTTAGAACAAGGAGCCATAATTTTTCCAAGGTAAATCTCTGCTGTTACCTTCTGAGTGAGTCATCTATCCCCTCAAGGGGTATAGTTCACTTTCTGAGCTCTTAAAATAGACTTTTGTAATGGGCTTGTTCCTTCATCAGACACTTTCCTTCTGTAGCTGCCTTAAAAGGGCTTAAATTCTTCTAGTTACTGCCTGATTGCCTCATTTCATATCCCACATGTCTTTGGTAGAGAAGAAGGTTGAAGCATTCGTTTTTCCTTCAGTAGAAGATTTTAGCATGCAGATTTGAATGGGAATGCTGAAAAATACACACTCGTGCTTCTGTTAGCAATTACTAACTGCAAAGGATGACTCCTCTGGTTAGAAATAATAGAGCTAGCAAGAAATGCATTTTGGGGCAAACCTAAAGTGGGAGAGCTTTTAAAGTTTGGTGTTCGTGCTTACTAGTTTAAAAGGTGGAAGAAATCTGCTGTGAAAGGAGAGGTTAGCTTATAATATTGACAGTAGTTTTATTAAAGTGTCATGAAAAAAAGAGTAAGGGATGCTACCAGAGGTTTTGCTTGTGTAACTGGAAGTGGTTCATTTCTCGTGGGCATCACATAATTTGAGTTTGCATCAATACTTGCATAAGTTTCTATTATGCTAGGGAAGTGGTTTTTTTTAATGTTGCAGTTTAGTAACCTAAACAGTAATAACTTCCATCTGTGGTTTAATAAATTGCTTTTATATGTTTTAATATGTCTGTTGCTATGTTCACTGTACAATGTCTAAACCTTCGTGTTAAGACTAACACTTTTTTGCTTTAATAATTCGAAAATGTGGGGTCTTTGTCTTTACTGCTTAAAAATGTAATTCTACTCTACAGTAAGAAGGTTGATAAGCTGGTGAATGTCTTGTCTCTCTAGCTATCTGAAATAATTTCCAGGCGGGAAGATAGCACTGATCTCCATATGCTGATAGTAAATCTCTTTCTATCTAGAGCATTTACAGAGAGAGCACTAAGTATTAAATTACCTTTTCGGGAAATAAAAGCAGCTTTTGTTAACATGGTCTGTGCTGTGCTGGAAAGCTTTCACCTTCTGCTGCGTGGTCCTGCCCTCTGGTGGGCACGCAAAAGCTGGCTGAGAGCCTGCTTTTGTGTAAACTGGAAGGTTGCCTCCAAGAAATCTTATCTAATCTTAGCAAATTTTGAGATTTAAAAACATTTAATTTTCTCCACTGTGTTTCAGTTTTGTAGCCCTGTGGCAGCAGCAGAGGCATTGTCACGTGTGTCTTCGGACATTAAAGTAAATTAGTACGATAGATGACACTTGTATGTTATTACAGTACTTTCTTCTTCTCATCTTATTTTGGAGATCTTTTCTCATACGATTGAAATAAAGGTCCAAAAAGTGTTTTCCTGAATGCTAGCTTGCTTGTCGTTTTTGTCTGTGGTATTTTTAGACACTTTGAACGTTGCACAGATAGAGTATCTGTTGTATTTCATTCCAATTTAAAGATTTGTGTTCCAGCACATGTTTTCATTCTGGAACTTCTTGGCTGTTCTTCTATAATCTTATTAGGATCAGGGAGAGGGAAATTTCTTTCTCCTATTTTAAAAATACCTTTTTCATGTTTCACTAAAGCTTTTCTGTCTTTCTCCCTGTGCCGCAACTTGCGCTTTTTAAATCCATGTATTCTCCTTCCAGTTAAAGATACAGAAATCAGTAAAGGTCAAAATGCCTTTAAGGATCTAATCTGAATTTAATACTGTTTCATTTTGAAGCAATCTGATACATGTCTTAAGGAGATAGAATCTTGTTTTATAACCCACAGAGGTTTTTTAAGTATAGACCATGAATCTGATCCTGCAAGCTAGTAGTAGCATAAATAGATGTTATGTAATGGTTCACAAAGTCACCAGGAAGCATCAGGTTCTTATTAGGAAACTGCTGAGGAAAACACTTGTATAATACTAGTAGAGTTGTTTGTTTGTTTTTCCAAGGAGAAAAGAAACCTGGGTTTTTAAATTTTTTGGTCACATTTAGAAAGTATGACTTCTCATAAAGTGTGTTGTAGTCTTTTTAAAGTGATATATGCGTTGAAAACTCAAAATGCAAAAT